GTTCTCTGGAAGCTTCGCGATCCTGTTCAACCCCGAATGCAACGACCACATCGGGGAAACACATACAGGGGGTAGGTGCAATAGGTAGTTTTCTGGCGAGAGAGCAGACGTGCTTCGGCGCACTGTAGCTGACGGGTAGATTTCAGATCCTCGGTGTCTGTGTGACGCTCGGGGAATACCCCAGAGTTCGGTACTACAAACCCGCGAATGCCATGCACGAGGCCAGCGTTCTGTGTGAGCATCTTGCGCGCATGGTGCAGGAGGAGCTCGACACGTATGCGAACTGGAACCAAGACTACCCGCCACAGACGAACAGGCCGGCGAGCACCCTCATCATCACAGACCGGTCCATGGACATCACAGCGCCTCTCGTGCACGAGTTCACCTACCAAGCCATGGCGCACGACTTGCTGCCCATCCGCGAGGGCGAGAAGATCATGTACCACACCGTCACCGACAAGGGCACGCCCGACGAGGCCGAGATTGACTACGAGATTACAGACAAGGACAAGGTCTGGACAGACTATCGGCATCAGCATATGAAAGACACCATTGGGCGGATGACGGTCGACTTTAAAAAGTTCCTCGAGGCGAACCCTGCCTTTGTCAACGAGCAGACGGGCCCTGGCAGCGTCAACAACTTGCGCGACATGCTGGGCGGCATGAAAGAGTTCGCCGCGCAGAAGGAATCATTCTCGCTGCATATGAGCATGGCGCAGGATGCTATGAACCTTTTCGAACAGTACAAGCTCCCCGACGTGGCTTCTGTGGAGCAGAGCCTGGCGACAGGCATGGACGAGGACAACCGGCGGCCGAAGAACATACTCGAGTCTGTCGTGCGATTGTTGGATGACCAGGCCATCACACCGAGCGATCGACTGCGACTCATCATACTGTACATCCTCTACCGCGAAGGTGTCATTGAGAACGATATTTTTCTGCTGCTCGAGCATGCCAAGCTGCCCAAGGACGAAGCCGTTGTCGTGAAAAACCTTGCCCACCTGGGCGGCCGCGTTTTGCACAATCTAAAGGAGGCCCGCCGTGCGCATCCGCCCGCGTTCCCCAAGAACACAAAGCCGCCCGAGGTCAACGAGGAATACGCCCTGTCTCGCTTCGAGCCCGCCCTGCAGTCAGTCCTAGAAGACGTCGTCCGTGGCACTCTCAGCAGCGACTTGTTCCCATACATGAAGCCGCCCATGGACCCCAACGAAGACCTCATCGCCGCGCAGCAGGGCTCGCTGCGTGCCGGCCGTCCCAACTGGGCCGCGTCTGGCCGGAAAGCCCCCGAAAACCGACAACGTGTGATCGTCTTCCTTGCGGGCGGCGCCACCTTCAGCGAGAGCCGCGTGTGCTACGACATTGGCGCAGCGCGGTCGAGGGACATCTTCCTGGCGACATCACACATGCTGAGCCCCAACCTATTCATCCGTCAGCTCCGCGACCTCGACAAGGGCCGCGGCCGCCTCGACCTCCCCGCCGACAGGCCCAAGCCCCGCGCCCCCGACTGGATCCACGAGCGTCCCGCGCTGCACCCCAGCTGCAGCAGCAGCAGCAGCAGATGGCGCGGCGCCTGGCCCCCGCGGCCCTCCGTCCGCGCAGCCAGGCGCCGCAGCGCAGCATGGCCGCAGACCGCCTCCGCCCGCCGGGGGCCTGCCCGGCCGACCGCAGGCGCCGCCCACGGCGCAGATGAGCAACATGTCGCTCGGCGGCCCCGCGCGCCCGCCGCAGCACATGGCCAGCCCCAGCAGCGGCAGCCGCCCGTCGCCATCAGCATCGCCGGCGCCCGTCCCTGCCGGCAAGCCGGAGAAGGAGAAGAAGAAGCGCAACTTCCTGGGCATGAAGAAGTCGTCCAAAGACTAGAACGCCGTCGGCGACAGAGAGGGCCCCCCCGGTAGCGGGCGGCGGCGGCTTATTTCGTGGTTAGATGGCTTTGCTCCGTTTAGCGTTGGCGTCCTGGCGTTGCGGGCAGGGAGGGGAGGGGGTGCAGGGCATGGTGTCGTTCCCGGCAACGGCGGCGGGGACTGAATGGGACATTGCATATCGTCAGCTGCCTGCGCCGTGCATTCTTCTCTGCCTTGAATGGACTGGTAGCATACACGTTGAGCCTCGGTGATGTAACCAACGTGCGTGTCTTGTGTGTGTGATCGGCCAAAGGTGCCCTTTTTCCTAAAGAGACGCGCAAAACAACGTGCCTGCGTAAAAACAACTCTGCAAAAAGTGCAAGCGCACGTCTCGAACCCGAGCCTCCAGACGAGGAAAGAAAAAAAAAAGTGAGGAAGCCGGGCTGCCCCTGGTGTCTGTCACTTTAGACTCCACGGAAGCTGTTGCACTACCACTGTGCCTACAGCTCCCAGCCGCCAGGCCGAGACTTTCGGCGCGTTTATCAAGGGCAGAGAGCGGGTCATGGCTTCTTTTGTTTTGGGTGCCTGAGAGCCGTTGCCTGGGTATCGGCGGTGCGCGTGTGTGCCATGTTCGGATGGAAGGAGCCAAGTGTTGCTAGGTGACGGGAGGGTGCGTGGGTGGTCGAGAGGGACGGGTTAGCGCTTCACTGTGCTAAGGGAGTCAGAGCTGTCTGGGTCAAGATGCTATCGTCTTCGTTTTTGTTTTAGTAGCAGCTTAGTAGCAGCACTTCCACAGCATGCAAAGGATCTGAAGACGTCAAGATCCGGCGCCATGTCTGGGGACCGCAAAGTCCAACAGTCCTCCAAACGTCGACTACAGCACCTGCACTTAGTCACTCGCACGAATCACGGAAACACAAAATCGGAGCAATACATCCATTCATCATTCATGTCTACGGTGAGATCAGAACCCCCGTAGGCCCTCCATAGGTCTGCCTCGTCATTACCCCAACATGTCCCAAACAAGGTTGTTCATCGGCGTCAAGCCGCTACTTGAAATCGTTATACAGACTGACCGGCCAAGACCGCCGTCGTGGCCGACACTTCGTGTGGGAAACGCGGCAAACGTGCCGGTTGGGTTCCAGAACAACGTTCACAGAGCCATGGTTGAGGCTGCCATGTGTGAACGCCTGCCATTTTGTTTTGACAGCATTTGAGAGAGAAAAAGGGTGAGTTTGAATGTAGCGTCGTGGGCATGATGGTGTATTGGCAATGATGGTGTGTCATGCCTCTTGATATGATTATGGCCTCCGAAAACCCTTCAGAGAACGCACGTTACTGCCTGCGGAAGGCTTGGGCGGCGCCAGGGGGAGGCAAGCCGCGCCCGTCAAAGGGGAATCCGTGACCCTCGAGTCCGGGGCCCTGGAAACCGGGTACCCCCATACCGGGGGGCGGCATGAAGCCGGGGGGCGGGGGGCCTCCGAAAAATCCTGGAGGAGGCTGCATGTTGCGCGGAGGCGGACCAGCCATGCTCTCAGGTGGGGGGAAGCCGCCCGGTGGGAAGTTGGGACCCGGAGGGAACATGCCTGCCATGGGGTGGTTGCGGCCAGGGCCGACTGGTCCGCCTGGGCCGCCAGGACCGCCAGGACCACCAGGGCCGCCTACGAGGCCAGGGGGAGGACCCATGTTACGTTGCTGAGGGGGCATCGGGCCACCCTGCTGCATCCAGTTGGGGTTCATCTGGTCGAGCCCAGGAGGCGGCGGAGGACGCTGCAAGATCTGCGTGGGCTGCGGGCGACCCTCGGGCTCGTGGTGGAAGCCCTCTTCCATGAAGCCGGGAGGAGGACCTCGCATGGACCGCGACTCGCGGGCGCCGCCGCCTGGGGAGAAGCTGGGCTCGCGATCTTGGAGGTGCGAGATGGAGGCGTTCCGCTGACCCTGGGGTTGCGGCTGCTGGTGCATGCGCATGAGCATCTGTTCGGTTCGGACAGGCTCGGGCTGCGCTCTCATGAGATTCATCAAAAACTCGGCGTTGCTGTTGTTCCGCATCTGAGGATGGGGGGCGCCCTCAGCCCTACCAGATCCTTGGCTGGAGGCAAGCTGGCGCTGGGCGAGAAGATCCTGCAGCATCTTGTCCTGGTGGCTCGCCGACTGCTGGGTGGCCAACATGGGTCGAGGGGCGGGAACGTCCTGTGGCGGCATGGGATGCTGGTGACGGATACGCGGGTCTTCGCGATGTTCAGGAGGTCCGTATTGTTGGAAGGGGTTGGGAGACTGAATCGGGCCTCCGGGCGATGGCTCGTGAGGGGGCTTCTGGAAGAGCTGGGCGGCCGGCGGTGTCGAGCCCTCATTCACGTTGGAGCGTTGAAGCTTCTGCAGCAGCACGGCGAATGCCTCCTTCTCCGCATTCGGGGTGCCGGCACTCATGATGGCGTTGCCGCCCATGATGGGCAGGCCTGGGGCGGGTGCAGGAGGCTCCGGTTGGTGGCGGGCGCTCGCGTCCTCGTGCGGCGCGCTGAAGAAGGAAGTAAAGCGAGAGGATTTGCCACCGCCAGCCCTACTGGGCTTGGGCGTGGCCTCTTTCTGTTCGCTGGGCGGGTCCAGGCCTCCAGTGGAAGCGAAAGCCATGAAGAACTTGTCGGGGCCCGTCTCGACGGGCGCAGACGCAACAGCAGGCTGCTCGGCCTTGATCGCGGCCTCCAACGCAGTCGCAGCGACGGGCTTGTCGGAGGCAGCGGCAGCGGCAGCGGCGGCGGCCTTTTGGCCTTTCATGCTCTCCATGAACTTCTTAAAGTCCTCCTCCGTGTGACGTTCATGCTTGTCGGCAGCAGGCTCATCCATCCACTCGGGGTCGCGTTCGTTGCGCTGGTCGCGGTCCCAGCGGCGATCGTGGTTGCGGCCGGTGGACCGGTCGGTGGACCGGGGTTCGGGAGCGGGCTCGGCATCCTGGTTCTTGTCCCTCCAGCTCTTGGCGCGATCGATGCGCTCACGTGCCGTCATCTGAGGCTTCTCGACAGGCTCATTCTTGAACCAAGGGTCCGACTTGCCACGGCTCAGGCCGTTTCGGGTGCGAGGTTCGAGAGAATCATCGACTTCGGCGTCCTTGCCGTGGTTGTCGAACGTACGGCGCGGCCTGTCCCTTGCAGCATCGTGATCGTCCCTCTCGCGGGGCTTGCGATCGGTCGTGAAGCGGTCGCCACCTCCCATGCGACCATGGAAGCGCTCAGCGCCTTCGGCGCCGAAACTCTTGCGAGGCTTGACGGTGCTCCAGCCCTCGGTATCTTGATCGCCTTCTCCGCGGCGGCGAAAGTTGCTGTTCCTCGAGTCGCGGAACCTGTCGCCGAGTTCCGAGTCGCCATTGCGACTGTTGCGAAAGTTGAAGCGATCGCGGGCGTCGGGCTCTTTGGAGTCCTTGTCGGCGTCAAATGGTCGGGTGCCAGTGGCGGG